GGAGGAGTGCAAGAGCATGGCGAGGGAAGACCAGTATTCCAGCATGTCCGGTGGCCCAGACGAGTGGGCTGACACTGTCTGCGCTGAAACAGCGAGGTTTGGGCCTTTCAGCGGAGGCGCTCAACAAAAAACACATTCGAGCAGAGTTCCAAGATCGATATGGATTTCGATGTGTTTGGGCGACTTGGACATCGGTGTCTCAAATTGGACCAATTTGGTGGGTCAGAAACCTCAGTGCTTCATGCTGGTTGACACCATCGCCACCCCTTCAAAAAACATCCTATCACATCCAATCACGGTAACTTGCGTATTCTCTGAGGAGGTGCTCTCCCTCCCCTCAAATGGTGATTTACCGGCTCCAAACAGTCCGACTGGATCCGGTCGTTTCCGCGTGGCGCCAGGCAGCGCATGTGCCAGGCCAGCTTCAAACCGCGGTCACCGGCCGGGTCGCCCGGGCGCCGTAGCCAGAGCCTCGCGGGTTGGGAGAAAACCACGTCAAACATCGCGAAGGGCACTTGTAATACCCAGACACTCCATGGGACATATGCCGACATTGGGGTGGTTTTGGGGGTCAATGTAGGCATATATTGCATACATGGAGTGTCTGGGATAGAGTTGTCTCCAGCCACTAAAAAAGATGACGAACAACGATGCTCACATGCCCGAAAAAGAAATTGGGATCAAGATCGCAAATCACCTAAGGAATACATGGCCTGTTTGAATCATCTCGTGATGAATTGACACACCGCACCCGGCCGTCTCAAGCTTGTCCGCACGTCCGAGGCCTTGGAGAAGAGCGCGGCACAAACGTCTGGAGTGCGGAACCCACGGAGCCGCGCGCGCTTTCCGCAGCAGAGATAAGGAAGTGAGAAGTGGCCCAACCAGGTGGGCCCCGAAAAGGGTCCACTCTGACCTGAATCATGGGGGTGACATGGGTAGTGCAATGGTATATATTCACACTTGCATTGAGCTTGCGGTTGCAAGTTTTATGTTCACGAAAACTCACTAAAATGTCCCACCGAGACATTTTGGCTCAAGTTGGGTGGCAACCTCGAGTGAGTTGCCAACTGTGATTCGGACACCTGTTTTCTGGTGCGGTTTAGGTACTTGGGATTCACCCATAGGCTTTTTGCTCTTCACGCCCATCGCAATGGCGCAGTGGATGGGGTCTGGGGAGGACCCATGCATCTTTCAAAGCACTACGACAAAAGGCTGCTTGCTGCTTTTGTTGCTTAGGGATGTTTTTGATTTTTGGGTACATATTCTATATATATAAAAAACTTTCATTGGAAAGAGCCTGTTTTCTAAATTAAAAAAGAGTCAAAAAAGTCAAAAAAAGGCAATCCCAAAAGTCAAAGTCAAAAAAGTCAAATCAGCAAATTTCAGAAAGTAAAAAAGTCAATTTGCCCAGATTTGACTTTTTGATGTTTTTTTGACTTCTTATTTTTAGGACTTTTTTTGGTGACTTTTTTTGATTTTTTGGGGACATTTTTTCGACTCTTTATTTTTTGGACTTTTTTGTGACTTTTTCGAGCTGTGGTCTACGGTTGACTTTTTTTGACTATTTTTTTTGTTTGACTTTTCTTGACTCCAGTAATCCGCCAAGGCGAGGAGCCACAGTTTTGACTTTTTTTTTGATTTTTTTCGACTTTTTTGGGATTTTTTTTTTTGACTTTTTCGAGCTGTGGTCTATGGCTGACTTTTTTTGATTTTTTTTGTGACTTGTTTTTGACTTTTCAATTTGACATTTTTTGACTTTGACTTTTCCAGTTGACTTTTTGTGACTTTTTTTTTAAATCACGGATTCTGGCCTTACCATATGAAAGTTTTTTTATAATTCTATATAACATGGATCTTCCAACTATTCTGATTTTTTTCCAAGCTTGGCTTGGCTGGTTTCCAAGTTCGGCATAATTTTGGCACAGTTTTTCATGAACATGCAAGAACCCGGTTTGAGATATATGAGATCTATATTACTTGGGAGTGGTCTGACCATTCATTTTTGCCAAACAGTTTTTGCCATCAAGGGTCAAGGCTCGAAGCTGCAAAGCAATGACCCTCGACTTGGGATTTAGCCATGTTTCGCCGGAAAAACGGCCACTCCGAGTGGTTGATGTCAGGGGTCAATGTCTGACTCTTCCAGTCCCATGTGAGGTGTTTAAGTATTTTAAGTACTCTTGGAACCTAGGCATTTGAAGCAAAGAACACTTTTATTCACTGTGAACTCTCCAACAATTATCTGAGACTTCTTTTTGTGCCGCCCATCCCACCCGGTTCAGGTCCTTGTTCCGCTTCGACCGCTGCCAGCTTCATCCGATCTCTCCGTCCGTCGCCTCAGAGTGGACCGAACCAGGCAACTACATCCCCAACAAACCTCACCTGTCAAGTCCGGGGTGATACAACTTGGTTGGTGGCGGAATGGGTGCTTCATCGGGATACCATTCGAAGGTCCTGCCGTCTCATCTCGGCGATCCGGTCTAGCGGGCTAGCCCGGCCTTGACTCATGTGTACGAACATCGGAGACCTTCCCCCGTGGAAGGTTCGGAAAATCGACCTACCCATTGGTGATGAGGGGTTTCCCGGACCGAGTTTTTCATATTGCATTCTTCTTGGGCCAAGCATTCCTTGACCCTCCAAAGTATCTTAGAAAATAGGACTTGAGTTGATGCCCTTCGCACAGTGATTCTTCCATCCTCCAGTCGATGAACATCTTCCCAATCGGGAGGCCTGGTGTGCGGCGGAGATCCTCAAGTCATCCAAAATGCTTTGAAAGGGCCATTCATTCACCTCAGAAGTCCAGTTGACGAATCGAAATGCCCATGGATCCACAGCGATGTCAAGCGGTGGATCCACAGTCACCACCCTCTTGCACAGGTCAGGTCATTTCTTCTGCCCTTTGAGGGAACGACCATGAAAATGGGACTGGTTACTGGTTACACACGGACTGAGCCCATGAAAATGACATCATTTGGGTATGTCCGACGTGTCCTGTAACAGTCGGTAAAGAAGAACATCACGGTTTTAGAGATGGAAAGGCCTGCAACTGAACCATAATCATCCACTGGGCCCTGGTCATGGCCATATACCCAACCTATAATGTATATAATACATTATACTATACACTATTCCATACATGGATGGTTTGAAGTTCCACTTCGTATCCCTAAAAAGATCTGACAGCAGCTTGGAAGCAGCAGCCTCGACCAAGAGCGGTCGAAGCATTGGCATTTTTCGGGTGTTGGTCTAGCTTTATTGCCCTAAAGGCTCCAAACAGTTACCAAAGAAACTATACCAACACCCGAAAACTGCCACCAATGCTTCGACCTCTTGTCGAGAAAACAGGCCGACCGGTCCACGTTTCGACCATGTTCGACCACGTTCAACTCAGAGGATTCCTGTCCGGCCCCAAAGTTGGAGGGTCCAGGGTTGCGTTTGGGTGGATCTTTTCGTGTGTGGGGCGATAGATGTGATAGTGGGTGTGTATGAAATGACTTAGAGAGACCTCCCGACAGGCAATGACCATTTGGAAGAAGGGATAAATAGACGATATATAGCCAAAAAAGGGAGTCCCGCTATGGCACACATGGCAGACTGACCAGACTGACAAACCCAGACCATCCATGGGACTGCAACAGTTGTAGACGTTTACCCCCATTGGCCCTAACATACCCAGACACTCCATGTATGCACCCTAGGGATCCAAGTACCTCCTCAAAAGGTACTTGGACCCTCCAAACCCACCCCAAACACCTTCTCAGAGGGTACTTGGATCCTTAGGGGCAATATATACCTATCAGATTGACCCCCCAAAACCACCCCAACTGATCGGCATATGGCAGTCCCATGGAGTGTCTGGGATACATACCCAGATGGTCTGACCCAAGCTGACCAGACTCGTTCGGCCTCAGATCCTGGCGAAGATGGTGCTTCCCATTCCGCAGCAGCCAGGCCGCGGCCGGGCGGAAGCGCTTCCGCGACCCCCCAGACTTGGGGGCGCCTGTGGTAGGGGGGGACTTGGGGGGGAAGTGTTGATGGAAGGGTTTCAGAAATTCAGCCATATGCCCTGAGAAAACAGGCATGTTGACCTTGGCGAATCCTATTGAATCCCCTCAAAAATGTTTTAGAGATATACAGACCTAAACCACCTCATTTGAGCAATCATCTACCTGAACCTTCCAACGTACAATCGAAACTGGGTATCATGTGGTACCCCATGTGGTACCTGGTGCTTTGTTCGGGTCATGTCCTACTTCCGGTACCAACGGCTTCGTCCTGTCCGGACACCCAACGACTCCATGTATGTACGTAAGTAAGGGGTCATTTTTCATGGGGTAAAGGTGTAGCATTGTATAACATTCATTATGGGTCCACATACCCTTTGAGAAGGTGAGCAGGGAGACACTTATGTAGGCTTTGAGGGTCCAGTCATACCATCTGAGAAGGTACTGGATCCTTAGGGAATGTATAACATCGATTAACATCGTATACAGTAATTGTAGAACTCTTCCAGTCCCATGGTGTGTTTTGGTGAAACATGAACTCATGCACCATTGCCCATGGTTGCGCGTTTTAACAGCGCACAACCAACGGCGCAGGCTCTCCTCCGAGAAAAGGCCAGGCGAGTCTCTTTCAGGGGTTCTCTCCGGTGTTGGTGAAGATTGTGAGAATTCTGATCCAGTTGTTCCGTGACGGACAATTTCTGGGGCTCTTTATGTATATATTACAATCTACTGTATTCAATACGTACACTGTACTATTCAACTGTGCTAGGATGTGCTAGGTATATGTTTGAATTGGTCAAGAAATCGGCCTCCAGCCTAGCATCGCTTGGGCTCAAGAATGCCAAACGCAAGCGTCGACCACATTGAGGTCATGTGGATGAAGCTCTCCTGCACCAAGGATTGCGGTCGCCATCCTTAAGACCCCAAAGATCTTCCTTAATTTCTACCAGGTTGAGGTCACTTAAGCCTCTAAAGGGTTACCAGCTGGGAAGCTGGTCACGAACTGTCATCTTCAGCTGGTCGATCCATCGCGCTTTGACACGTTCGCCATGCGCGCTGGTCGACACCCCATGTCACTGCGATCCCGATGGCTGTGCTGCTCGCTTCTGGTCACCTGGTCCCTCTGCTTCGTGCCACTGGCCTCTCCGGGCGCGCAGTACACCGCGCCGCGCGGCGGGCGCGAGACCGCGCCGCGCACGAGGGGCGTCGTGTGGCGCCGTGCCATGGACTTGGAGGAGCGGCGGGCCAAGTGCCCCTTAACACGGGAGCAATTGGAAAGCGATCATGGAGAGAAGTGGGTGCCTTGGCCACTTTGGGAAGCATCATGGTGTTTTTTTGTTTGGAGAGGAACAGGTTGGTTTTGGCTCAGAAACCGGTGAACTGGTCAGAAAGGCGTTTTCCACAAACACGTTCTTCTTCTTCTTCTTCTTCTCAGGATCCGGAGTCTGCGGTGCGTTTCTGAAGGATCGCTCAACTGGCCCAAGTCACCTCCAGGATCGCTCATCCACCTCCAGGATTCACGACCCCAAACGGTCCTGTGCGGTGGATTTTTTGGGGAACCCAAAACAGTCCATCCGTTTCTCGGATATCCTGGCTGGCCCCCCAAAACCGACGGTTCTCTGGTTTTGTACCATCCGAAAAGGAGCTATGACCTGACTCTGGGGTGTGTTCTTAAGAGGATGAGGTGCCGACGTCTGTCGGATCAACTCACCACTCACCACTGGGTGAAAGTTCATGCGTACGGCATTGTGAAGGTTCACAGCTCATCCCACTCTGATCCTCAGGAAGACGTGCGCGACATCTTGGTGGGACTCCGCGCGACCTCCCCGGAAGCGATCATGCGAGTGGCCTGGCTGCCAGCGGAGCCTGGGGGAGCCTTGGCCTAGCCTGCCTGGGCTAGGTGAGCAGCAAACCAAAGACGAAGCATCAGCACCACCAAGGACCACAGAGTGGATGGTCCCTCATTTATGTCATTCAGTTCTCGGAGCCCTATATTCCCTATGGATCCACAATGATCCACATACCCTTTGAGAAGGTCAGCAGTGAGACTCTCTTATGTAGGCCGGAATGGCGCCTGGGTCGTGTCCAGTCCTACCGAACCTGAGAAGGTGGATCCGTGGAATGTCTATGATAGAGAAAATCTCTTCGATGAGACGAACATGCTTTTGGGACATGGGGCCGGCCACGAGGCTCTGCCCTGGCTCGCATGCCTGGTTTCGGTGTCCAGAGCCTCACATCCTGAGTCCTCAGTGAAAAGTGACCCTTACAGGGTTTGGCACAGGACTCCATCCTGAGTCCTTAGGCCCTCCACGCCCCCCCTGGAATAAGGAAGAACCATCGAACACCCGGTGGTTTCTCCAGTTCTTCCATGTTCTCCAAACAAATACGACACCCATCATGGGCGTGAGGCCATTCACCGCTGAGGCTCGATTTACAGCGTTGAGATTTCAAGATCCGCAGTTCTTGGCCTCCACAGACACCTGGTTTGGCAAATCAGGTGATTTTTTTTTCCATATACTGTACCAGGGCATACCAGGGCCCCCTTTTTGGGGTGGTTCATAGGCACGCATAAAGGAGCCATTATTGGACACCTTTTAGGGGGCCCTGGTCCCTGGTATGGTTAAATCCTCTTCTGGTGCACATAATTGCACAATATTGCACATACCCTAGGCCTCCAAGTACCTGCTGAGAAGGTGTTTGGGGTGGGTGCCAGGAGGGTCTAAGTACCTTTTGAGGAGGTACTTGGAGGTGTAGGGATATTGGATACATCTTTGGTTTATTTCTTTCCAGCTTTCTCTTTGGCCAAGGAAAAGGATGAGAGCCAGTCGATCCGGGAGCGCTCCAAGCAGTGGTCCTACACATTGGGTCTGGAAGAAATGCCTGCGAGACTCAGACGACCCATGAGGGAGCCGTGACATCGGGAGACCAAGAAACCCCAGTAATACCTGGGGTGGGAGACTTCCCACCCCGTAGACTACTCTCCCGACTTCCCACCCAGTAAGAAGATGTAAGAAGGAACATGGATTGGTTCGAACCCAACGACCGGGGAGAGTAGTCTACGACAGAGTCTACGAGGTTCCGACCGCCTGGATCCATTGGCATTGGACGGTTCGACCCCACAGACTCCTGACCCAAGGATTCGGGTCTATGAGGCGACCCGAACCTGAGATGGGCCAGGAGGCCAGGAGGCCTAAGGGCGTTGTCACACAGTGTCACGCGTATCGGCTGGGCTATCCTCATGTTATTTTTAAATCAACTTCCAAGCGGGGAGAGAGATCTGCGAGCCGAGCCGAGCTGGATCCGCTCCAGCCTTTGGACCTCCGATTGGATTCCATCCGCCTTTTAGCATGTTCGTACATGGCAGCTACGACACACCGAGATCGGATTCCAGTTCGATCCTAAGGGTGGACAAGTTCCTGAACCTGAACAATGATGCCTTCAACTTGCAGAAGCCCATCTCGTTTGACGTGCTCGCCGCCGAGGGCGAGTGGTTGGAATTTCGAATCACATGTCCCTTGGGTCCGAAGAAGACATCGGTGGAAGGTCCTTCCTGGAGCATGTGTTATCCAGTCTCCAGTCTCCTGAGTCTTCTGGTCCAGGAATAGACCCGTCGCTAACATGGAGGGTAAAACTGGTAAAACCTTTTGATATCGGGCAAATGATGCTCAAGAGTCTACATGCCCTACGGATCCAGTCGTACCTTTTCAGGTGGTTGAAGACACTGTTATTATGTAGGTTTGGAGGGTCCAAGTACATCCAAGTACCTTCTGAGAAGGTATTTGGATCCGGCTGAGATGACACCGACTAACATTTCGATGTCCCCGACAACACTGGAGAACAACACTGGCTGCGTGGCTTCACAAGATCGACGGCGGTGAAGACCGTCTCGACAGGGAGACGCATCAAAAAACACATAGAAAGACACGAAGAAAGGACGAAATGAAAGAAGGAAGGAAGGAACAAAACAAGAAAGAAAGGAAGGAAGGAAGGAAGGAAGGAAAGCAGGAACAAAGGAAGGCAGGAAGAAAGGAAGGCAGGAAGGGCTAGCGGGAGGAAGGAAGGGAGGAAGGAAGGAAGGAGAGCAGGAAGAAAGGATGGCAGGAAGAAAGGAAGGCAGGACGCAGGGCAGGAAGGAATGTTGGCTTTCGGTGGCTTTTTGGACAAATGAGAGAGCCAGAGCCTGACAATTTCTGGCTTCCACTGTGAAATTGAAATGCGATGTTGCAAAACTTTGCCCAGATGCCCAGCGCAGAGACCATTGCAGTTGTCAAATGAAGATTCATTGGGGAAACTCCATGATATCTGTTTTTGGGTCGTGCCAAGTTACAATGCGGGGGAGGCGCTGCGCCCTCCCCCGCGCCCCTTCCCGCTTTTTAATTTTGAGCGTAGAAATAGTTTCGGGTATAGCTTTCTAGACTTAGTTTTTGGGTGGCAGTGGAGTTTGGCTTTTGGTGGCTTTGGCTTTGTAAGAGTTTTTGTATATCGAATTATATAAATATATAGGTTGATTTCCTGTTGGTTTTTGGATGCGTCTTGGGATCACTGCTTCGAATGGAATATGGCTCCCTCCGCACGTTTGGAGCCCGTCTCGACACGGCGAAGACCCTCAGGCGAAGGGAAGACCCTTTCGGAGAAAAGCCGCTTCATCCAAGACAGGACCGTCACCGAAGGGGAACGTCACGCCTCGGCGTTTCGGGCGGGTTTCGGACCCAGTGACGCGTTCCAGCTTTCCGCCAAGCCCCTTGGTTAAGCCACAGTATGCCACAGTAGCCTTTACATAAGTTTGTAGCTGATCTTCCAAACAGTGCCAACAAGAAGTGCACTGTTAGATGACTGAATTCTCAACGAATTGGAGCCGAAACCCAGCCCATGGGCCTCTTCATCCAGATTTGCCAAGAACATGAACGAAGAAAACCCAGCTGCTCCATGTATGGACTATTTATCCTGTTTACCTACATTGACCCCGGATCAACCACGCTGACATCGTGAATATCTACCTGGACCCGACTGAAGCAGGTGTTTCCCGGTGGCAAGTTCGGTGCCCAGAAACCGACCTGTTAGGGTCGCAAAACAGCCTGGCCAGGAGGGTCCTGGTATGGAAATATAGTATGAAATTGTTTCCAAGGTTCTGTAAACTCTAGACAGTGTAATTTGGGAACCAACGTGACGAACACTGTTCACGTATCTTCATGTATTCATTGTTCAATTTGACGTAGGTCTTTTCTGACCACAAGCAGAAGGCGGGCCATTTCTCTCTCCAAAGCAAGGGCTTGTGTTGCTTTGCACAGGAAGTATGGCTGGGTCTACGGCGGCGAAACCGAATACAGCCGATGGACTTAATCCGCTGGACCCTGAAGCACATGGACCCTCATGCACTGACTTGCCTGATCTTGGCTGTGGGGTCATGGCACCCGTTTCGCCCGTTTCACTCCCTTCTCTGTGGACCTCCCGCAGGTCGTCGATTCACTTCATGTTCGGGAGAAACACACAAACTATGTAGGGTCCCCCCGGTTGAAACAGCCACTTCAAGTTTCTGGAACATCCAAACACAGAGTGGTGCTGGAGACTAGCGGCCAGCTCCAGCGGCCAGCTTTCGCTCCAAAACGCGGATCGCGCAAAAGCATGTCTGCCGCGGGGTCCCGTCTGCCGCGGTTGAGTGTGGGTGAACAACAAGTAGTAGAAACCAAACGAACAGTTGGTCAGATCTTGGGTATTGTAGACTCTTGATTAATAACTCTCCCCCCATTTAGATTGAACAGCCTCTTCATGTGGGGGGTTACGGGGGTTTATCGAGTCTACAATGACATTACATGTTTTTGGTGCAGACCATTTGGACCAATTACAATTGCATGATTGGATGGAAGTTGGCCAGGTGAGCTCAATCCATGGGACAGTGCTCCCAGCAGCAGAAGACGCGCCAGCAAGGCAAAGGAGGCACCGGTATTTCTGTATCTTTCTTTCCAGCACTGCGGAGTAGTCGCGAGACCTGTAGATTCCAGCTTCCCCCTCCAGCCATTTATTCATGCTGAAAACTCCGGGCTCTTGCTTGATCCCAACGAAAGTCCATGCAAACGCACAGGGATGTTCCTTTTACCAAGCCAGCACCACCCAGTTTGGATGGTGGAATGAACATACAGTACAATCCTGGCATCCTACTGTTTCACGGAGCCCCCGTTGGGGTCTGACGTTTTCTTTTTTCTGCGCGGAAGGTGCATACCTGTGGCAACGCGATCTGCATGAAGCTGGCAGAGGCGGTTTCCTGACCTGGATCCGACCGATCTGTGGCATCGCTGCTAGGATCCAGGGAGCTAGACCCGAGTTGCGGGGTTTGTTTTCCACCCTCTACGAAGAATCATTCTCTTTCTGAGGTACGGATGGATCATGACTCCAGTTAGATCGGGGACGGAGTCATGGCATTGTTCGCCATCCTCAAATCATTCTTGGTGGTCCAACAGTGTGCCCCCCCCCAAAGTCTATAGTCTTCCTTCCGGCTCAGTTGGCTCAGAGTCAGGACCCCCACCCCCTTCCGACGGTCGGTTTTTGACTGAAGAAAAAGAGGTCACACTGACGTCGGGTCACGGGTCCGGACTGGTGAGAGGCGCGTAGCCAGGTGTCAGGAAGCACGACCGTCCTGACACATCGAACCATAGCATACCAGGGCCCTTCTGGGCTCCAAGTGCCTCCCCAGAAGGTAATTGGCATGTATGACTGCACCCTCCTGGCACCCGGGCCCCCAGTCCCACCTTCTCAGAAGGTACGACTGGAGCCCTAGGGAATAGCTAAATTGCGTTGTATGAAGAGAATCAACACGAGAACCATTGATTTGTTGGTTTCTACCTCAGTCCTATTTGTGTTCGGGTCATGTCCTATTTTCCTTCGACTCATACACCTTGTCACACCCAGCCGTGCTCATAAGACTCAGCCGGTTCGGCAGTTTTTGAACATACAAATTCCACGAAAGTTCGAATGAAAACGTACATCCAGGGTTCTCAGAGAAGACACTGGGCGCAAACATGCACGAACCGTATCCAGGGCGCGAAGCGCAAAAGAGGCCCAGTGGGTGCATGTGAGTCGGATGTGTCGATGTGAGTCGCAGATCGATTCTCAAAATGAGGTGGGAACTGGGAACTTCTTTTCGAGGCTCCCGGGGATGCGAGAAAAAAATTAGAAAAACACAAGTTGTATTAATGTATGTTTTTTCTCGACTAAAACAGCCTTAAGATTTGGTTTGCTACATCCCCAAATCTTTGCAAGCTTGCAAAAGGATCAGTTCCATTCCCGTAGCCTTCACAAAGTGGCCCAAACTGGGTCTGCTGGGTCACCCAAATTCAGAAGAAGAACCTTGAGTCTCAGTTTGTGCCTCGGAGCATGAGTACAGTTGTACCATGTCGTATCTGTTTGTTCGGGATTCGGGTCATGTCCTATTTCTAAGGCACTTGAAGCCCGGTCCAGTAAGAAAAAGATCCAATCTGCGGCTCCAGCCCCAACAGGCATCAGGGTCTTTCAGAGACAGTCCTGCAGGAATTGAAGAACAAACAAATACCGCCGAAGGCCACTGAAAAACCACGGCTTGCGGAACTTTGGGGACCCTGGAAGTTGAGTTGGGAAGTTTGTGCCAACAAGCTTAGCCGACCTCTGCTGGCCTGTCAGCTGAAAGGGCATGTATAAAAGATGATCTTCTTGTTCACTTGAGCAAGTGAACAAGATAAACACGTTAGTCCACGGTGCGGGTGACGAACATGAAAGCACCGTGCAGCACTGTTCATCTAATCCTAGGATTGGGATCGACTTGGTAGAGTTTCAAGACGCAAACTGCCATCTCCTTTAGTTGCAAGATGTTGCAATTAATTGGAATCAAGTACACAAGAAGTGGGTCAAGTGGAAGACAGAAGAAGCTAGAAGCTTCTGTGTGGGGGGTGCCCCTGTCAGAATTCACGGCCCCATCTGATGGGATTCCAAATCACCCCAACTCCACTGCTGGTAGATGGAAGATGATGGAAGACGGAAGCTTCTTAGATCCTCCACGGATGTTCTCCCGACCTGCCTTCTGGACCTGCCTTCCCAGCGCCGACACGCGGCGTTTCGGTGCACGCGTGCCGGCGCCGCGTTGCGTACGCGTGCCACCATGGCCCTCAGCATCTGGGACCGACTGGGATGGGGCGGAAGACTCGAGACAGGACGGGGCGAGAGGAGCTAAGAGTACTTCGAAAGAGGAGAGTGGGGAGAAGACCTCCAACTACCTTGTCAGAAATGATTTGGACCCTCCTGGCACACACCCGGGCCCCCAGTCCCACCGATTCTCAGATGGTATGACTGGAGCCCTATAGGGTTTGGAACTTCCTGGTAGACTTGAAGATGAGAACGTCGATCAGATCTATACACCAAGTCTCCGAATCCCCAAATCATAAGTCGACATGTCATCATGCACAGCTTAGCAGAACAAGTCGAACTGGCATCATCTGTTGCTTCAGGAGTGCCTTGCAGTGCGGAAAACATGCAAAAGCACTAGACTACCAAGGAGGTAAAGGGCCAGGTCTGTCGTTGGACTTGTAGGGTTTGGGTACTGCATTTGGCTTGGTCTTCAGGTGTTTGCCTCCCATTTCACTACGTCTATCTTTCGACCATCACTTCGTTTCCACCGTTCTGGAAGAATGGCCCAACCACCGTTCCACCATTCGGACCGGTGGCCCAACACCGGCCGTCTACGACCACCGTCCTGGTCGACCGACGACCGACCTCCTATTGACCTCCGTTGAAAGGAATCACCGCACCTTCGGACGTGGCGGACGGACCGTGGACGGACGCGCCACAACGTGGCGTGGAAGGGTTTGGTCCATGAGCGTTCTTGGAACTCCGTTCGGTCCATGGACATCTCTGCCCTGGGAGTCAAAGACTATAAAAAGAATGGTCTGACTAGGGAACCTGAAAGGGAACTTCCTTTACTTCAGCCGGTCAAAATATAGTCGAACTGGACTTCTAGGGTCTGGGTGTCTCTTGGTGGTCGCTACGACTGGCCCCCCCCCCAACTGGATGTTCTTTTCGAGGGACGAAGCGGGTCGACGAAGCGGGTCGACGAAGCGGGTCGTATGGCCCATGTCGCCTGTCGAGTTTGACAGCCCAAACTCGACTTAGAGTTCTTGAGAAAGGCCTTTACTATGAAGCCCTAGGACTCCAACTACCTCCTGAGAAGGTGGTTAGGGTGCCAGGGGAGTCAGTCCCCACCGAACCTGAGGATATGGGCCAGGAGCCCTATAGGGCCCTGGGGACCATCAACATCATCCAGAAAGGCTCTGGGTTCCTGGGACATAACCCAGGCGACTCACTCGACTGAGGTATTCTTACGCGCCGGCTGCTCTTCTGCTTCCTGCTCATTTGGGTTCCTGGGACTCTGCACACGGTCAGGGCATCCACTAAGCTCGACCAGGGAAGAACACAGCACTGAGGGCACCCAGTGGCCAGACCATTTGTAGCTCATTTTTTGAGGTTCAGTTTTGTTTAACACAAATAAACATGCCCAGTGGCGGGGCACTGGGAACACATCTTGCACTCAGGGCGCCAGTGGCCAAACGAAGCATGGGTTCCCTCTTGGGGTTCTTCAAGGCATTTAGACACATGTTGCGCTGGATTCCAGTCCATTGGAGCTCGGTTTTGGGTGACCTTTGTGCGACATCAAGTGCTAGAGGCACAGTCAGACGGTTTTGGGTATGGACAGAAGGCTGCTGATTTAGCGACTCAAAGCCTCCCAAGAAAGACAGCTAAGTGGATGATATTGCTGGGCTTGATCGCCCAAAGCATAATTAGTTGTAGTTGTCCCAAGCTCTCACCAATAGAGCACACCTTCATTTTCCAAACCCTGGGTTGAGTCGGTTGAGAGAGTATGATTAGGACGGGTCTGACCCAATCTCAAGATGGGGGCAGAGTCCAAGATTCAACCATGTTGAGGGAAGATTGAATCAAATCATCAAGGCAGTTTTGTCATGATGCGAAGGGCGCACAAGGCCAGAGAGGCCGTGTGAGCAGGGGTTTACAGGACGCTGGCCGTCAGCTTTTGCGGGTCAATCTCCCATGATCTGGATTTCTTCCTGCTGAGGCGGGTCTGGTGATCTATCTCTTTCTAGTGCACCAGGAGATGGCTCTGGTTTTGTTGGCAGGTTGCGGCAGGTGTCAACTTCTGTTTGGACTTCGTTGACTCTGCAGGAAGGCCCGGGGCCTTCAGACGACCAGTGCATGTGATGAAGATCCTGGGACATCCCCTGAAACCACGGCCATCATAGGAGCGTAAGGATGCTACGAACGGGGCTCCTGGCCATCTACTAGGAGCAATCGGCTACTATATTCAAACCATGTCGCCAGTCGCCAGTAGGAACCTTTTGTATGCCCCTGGCCATCCGCAAGGAGCAAGTCAGCCATGAAGCGACCAAGCACCAGCAGGCGGGTCCGTTCCACAGCCTTGCTCCGCGATGCCAAGTGTTCCGCTCTAGTGCTGCCTTTGTGTGTGCGCGCCGCAAATCCTGCTTGCTTTACCTTCAAGATCGTTCATTTGGGTCCACCTGATGTTGATGTTTGGGGCCTGGGTGCAGAACACCTGCTCTCAAAGTTCCTTCCTTGTGAACCTGTCTCAGAGCCGCTGCCAGCGACCCATAGCGACCCATGTCGACCCGTCTCGCGGATGCACCCCGTGCATCCACCGCAACCGTTCGCACTTCTCAGGAGTTCTCAGAAAGAAAGGACGCAGGAATTCTTTTGCACATGGCTATTTATATACCTCACACCTCCAACTACCTCTGGGGTGGGTGCCAGGGGGGTTAGTCCCCTCCTTCTGAGGATATGGTTGGAACCCTAGGGACAGATCAAGCAGAGGCGATGTTTGGTACCATGTAATTATGTAGGTCCAGTCCGACTTAGGTCCAGTCTCGTCCTGAAGCAGACCTCAGCAGGAGTCGTGTTTTGGAATGATCACCTCCATACCGGATCCACTGCCCTCGGTGAGGACGGAGACACTTTGATGGGTCTTGGAGAGTCCAGTCATACCGAACCTGGAGCCATCATGGGCCATCATAATGAGGTCCAACGGACCAACTGACCTGTATCCCTTGTAGGCGGGGAGGTCTTTGCATCCCTTGACCGATCGGGAGTTTGGAACCTCTGAAGAGGTGAGCTGGGAGCAGCGGCTGCATTTATGGCAGCATAGCCAGCGCAGGCGGGAGTGAAGTCATTCGCTTTTGCTAGGTATTGGCCGGAGCTGGGCGCTGTTCTGATCAACAGGGGAGTATCATTTGGATACAATTGGCGATTTGTGCTTGGAGTTCAACTTGTATAGGTTCTGTCCCATTGACCGTGCCTGTAAAAGACCATGTCTGCGTGTGAATCTTCGGAATGAGGCCCCCTACCAGCCATCGTCCACAATTTGCACGTAGGAATTGCAATTTTACTCTTTCTACAGTTGGCCCAACTACCTGGACCTCCACGTCGGGGTGCGCCAGGAGATGAGATCCATCAGAGTAAGGGCTTCCACCAGAGGTGACCCTTTGACTGGGTCTCACGCCGCTAGGAACAACAGCTGGGCAGGACCCTGCACACGCTGCGAAGAAGGCCATGTTGCGAACGAAGCCTTCACGGACTCCGGTTGCGGATCGCTGGCGAGGAAAGTGGACTGCGGATGAGGAGGTCTGACGTGACGATGGTTGACTGTTTGTGATGATGTTCCTCACATCAGGCTGTCATCACATGAGGGATGATCAGATCCAACATAACACCATAACATCTGTCGTGATGATCCCTTATCCGTAGGGATCCACTGAGACTGATCCACTTGGTATGACTGGACCCTCCTGGCGACTGCCTACATGTCTCAGTGTCTCCGTCCTCACCGTACCTCAGACGGTGGTAGTGGATCCATAGGGTTTGGAGGTCTTTGCCCCATTCGAGGTAGAGAGAAACACATCCGAATGACCCAGGATCTTTGTGGGTTCATTAATCTGACCCCACGCAACAGTCACAAGAACAGGGCGGAGTTCATGCGGAAGAAAGCCGGTCTTTGGTCCACCACGTCGAACCCATGGGTCGACTCCACGGGGAGACGACTCCGCGCGCGCGCGCGCGCGCGTCCGACTCCAGAAAACACGTTCACCGGAAGAGTGAGCTCACGAGCGCAACCGGGGTGCTTCTGCAAGGCCTTCAAGTCTTGAAAAGATTTATAAAGAACATCACAATTGCTATGTCTGATGGAGTTACCATTCAAGTTGGTCTTTCCATGTCTTTCCTATTTCATTGCTCCTTGAGAATTCAAGAAGCGATTCCTGAACCATGCTGTCAGAAACTCAAAAGCGCTGTGTGGGATGAACCTTTGGTGCAAATGCGCGGTAAGGGGTAAGGGGTGTGGAAAGGACCTGTTTTTTGGACTTTGGAGGTGTGAAGGACCGGCTTCAACCCATTTGGGACCAGAAAACTCTACCAGCACCACCCAGTTTGGGTGGTGATTGGATGGAAAAGAGATGGACAATACATGGTGAGGGGGGGTCTATGAATCATTATGAATCACCCTAGCCCTAATTAGGTTGTGTTGGTATCATAGTCCATCCCATTCCATAGTGGCTATTTGGGCCAAAGGCCGTCTTTCATAAGGTCATTTCCAGCATCGCTCAATCCTAGAGCCGCCCATTTCAGCAGGTGCCTGCTGCTGGGAGCTGCGCAACCGAGTACTGCGCGCCGAGTTCACCGACCGGCCTGGGAGCCCAAGCGGGGCCCTGGCGGCCAAGACGACCAAGGTCCAAGCCACCCGAGGCCGGACGTTGTTTGGGACTGTTTTGCCCCACCCATAGACGATCCCATAGACCCTGAGAATTGAATTCACCCAGACCGCTCCGTGAAAACAGCTGTCTCCTGGTCCCGAACCAAACCATGGGGATTGGTGAGAAGGTCCAGACCCCTCCAGAGGAGTCGGGTCTGACCCCTTCATATGAGGGTCCAGGGTTTCGTCTGGGCATGACATTCCCCCACCCAGTGGTTTCGGGGTTCATGCAGTCCTTTTGCAGGCGAGTACACCCCAGGGATCCATAGTAATGACCTGGTCATTGGACCCTCCAAGAGCGACCGCCTACATCAAAGAGGGTATCGTATCTATGTCATATATCGGGTGGTTGATTTCAGGTCGAGATCTGGGGCGGTCCCAGACAGGTCTTGGGAGGCCAGTGACCTGGGAGTGCACCAGTCCGGTGTCCGCTGGAACTCCACGTGCTTCCCATTGCTCGGCTCACAGCCCGGCTTCGCAGTGTTTGAACTCCCCAAACCCAAACACTCCATGGGACTGCCAGCCCGGACTGCCAGCCCATTGACCTCCTTTCAACAACCACCCCTGGCCGTTTCTCGGCATCGCAGTCCCAGACGGGTCGTGTCTGGGAGTAGTGGGTCGAGGCATTCCGGTGTGCCGGACCCCAGACCCGACCATCACCGGGACCGGTCGGTCAAGGTGAGTGAAAAGAGTTCAGCGCAGACCACGCCAGTGGTGACTAGACGCTCTCAGGGTCGGTGGTCGCCCCCCCCAAAAAACGTGCAAACCAACCGCTGGGAGGGACGGCATGGAGGTTTTGGGCACCGTTTGTCATGGGCACAGATGCAGGTGAAGGGCACAGATCACGGAGTGGATCCAGTTTTGAAGCTATGCTTCAAGTGTCACATCATACATGATCTGCTGTCCAAAGAAGGATCGACATCGGAACATTGAAGACTTCGTAAGGTTGGAGTTCCTCTTTCTCGGTGGTCGGAGAAGTGTCCTTGAAGGTGGGATGTCTTCCAAAACAGACGAATTTCCAGAGAGACAAGATGGAAATGACCTCAACCTGCCCCAACTGCAGCACTCCATGGGACCGGAATAAACAAGGTCACGCCCCAGAACGACTCTTGCCTTAAGCACCCCAACTGGTAGATATGCTTTTAACATTTTTTAAACATGCCATACATGGATGGTTGGGGCAAGTAACCCCAACTCCCAGCCTAGTCTTTTCCAGTTCTCATCAGAGACCCTATACCACCTAAACACGCCGCCTCTAGACACACAAGCTTCCCCACCCCGAAGCTTCCAAAGCTAGTAGGTTGGAGGCCATCGCAAGTAGGTTGGAGGCCATCTCTATTAGTGCCACCCCGAAGCTTCCAAAGCTGGCGTGTTTGGTCCATCCGATGTAGGCCGTACCTGCAGTGGCGGAGCTTTCAGCTGACGGACGAGGCACTGCATCTGCCGGCGCGGAGCCCGGGTAGTGTTCGGCCCAACGGTCTAGGGTGGATTCAAGGCACTCAGCTTCTTGGGCTCGACCTCTTGGCAGGGGCCGGACCCGACACCGAAACGCAGGGGGAAAAGGGCCCCTTCACCAAACCCTATCTGTTTGATACATTGACCTTCCTGCGGACGGGCCCACAGGCCACGTCCAGGACCCCAAACATGACCGTTTGCCGGGGGTACAGCATGTCCATGGGGCCTTTATATCTTGGGACAACATATGTGTTTGGTGTATTTACATCATAACTAGATTGATATTTACATATGTCCAACATAGAATTCCTGACACATTTAATTGTGCATATCCATTGCCTTGCGGAGCCACAGCCCCTCTATGAATGTTCATGCACACCCAAGCTTGGCCGGAGTCTCCACTTGGGATCACCAGGTTCAGGGGGTCTCTTTGCGCATTGGACTTTTAGGGTTTTTGTGCACAAAGAAGACAAGTTGAAGATGGCTGTGATGAACACTTGTGGCTTTCTCGGGCATTCTTGAAGTACATGGGATGGTGCTTTTGGTGACTGTGATGTACGAACGATGCAATTACTTAAGGAAGGACTCTGGGACTCAACCTGACATCTTTCGATCTGCTTAGACTGAAGACTGAATTCATCAGTCGGCCGCTCACCGATGGCAGACTGATGCACAGACTGATGTGGTGGCCTTTTCGTCAAGCGCGAAGTGAGGTTGCGACGTTCCCACTCTTTCGGCTATTGCCAACAACCCAGGCTGTGGACTGTGGAGTGGATATTTGTTATTTTTTCGACCCAGATCCGAGAAGGACAGGCTACCAAGTGGATCAAAGCATCAGGGGCTCCACCAGTTGGCCTACTCATTAGAGGAACTGAGGCCATAGAGAGGAACTCCTTAAGATGTCATCAGTTGACTTCTTGGACAGCACACATGAGTCAAGATGTCCTGGACGATATCCCAAGCACAGGATGTGTCATGATGTTTCGATGTCATGGATGAACAACACTCAGTGGACGACTCATTTTGTTGAAGAACTCAGCACAAATCCCAAGAGACAAGAACTTCAGAGTATTTGCGTGTGGGTCAAGACGTGCATGAGCCAAACACCTAACCGCCTTGCAAGCTGGTCACCGCCGGAAGCTGCTTGCCAAGAAGCGGGGGGAAGTTCTCAAAAGCAAATCAAACATCGACCAACTACTAGTTTGCCTGACACAAAACGGCTAGGCACAGCATATACAAAACAGGGGTATGCATTTGGGCCCATTGGTTGGTGTCTTTTCATGTTCCTTTGATTGAATCAGCTTAGAGATCAGGGATGGGTACCCTCCGCGTCACTACCATGGAAGTGGAACATGCTCCCTGGGAAGACTATTGATATCCTCTACAAACACGGGGGTCCGTTATGTACATTTTCCACTTTCATGTGATGTGTTCGTGGGAGATCGTGGGAGTGTATATTCAATCGGCCTTTCAACGTCAAAGCTATAAAGCTTCAGAACAGGACCTTGACTGATGATGATCTAAGCTTGCTGCTTACCCCTTGTGGTCAGTTTCTGGTTAAGCAGTGCAGGCCACCTTGTTCGGAGGCCGCGCCTGCGGCTGCAGTGCACGTGGGTGGTTTTGTAGTCCAAACATGTGCAGCTCGCCAAAGATGACGACAGGCCACCTACGAAGTGCTTCCCATCTACCCTCCAACAGGTCTCCTCAATGGAGGCTGAAATGGAGACTTCAAAGTGGTAGTTGGTGACCTGTTGATCGTCGGGTGCTAGTATGCACAGCACATGTTGCCCTAAACACCACCGGGATCCATGTGAAAAAACTCGCGGTTCCATGTTTCAGATCCCTTCAGATCCAGGATTTCAGCTGCAGCTTGCAGGACCGAGTCACGTCGCCTGTTTCGCTCATGTGTTTGGATGCAGGGGATGGATTCCTGGATGGACCATCATGAACATAGCCTAGGGCTCCGACTACCTCCTGAGGTTCGATGGTTGGGTGCCAGGTCTGTCTAACCTTCTGAGGATATGGGCCAGGAGCCCTAGGGATATACCGAGACCCAAAGGGATGGTGTTGGAATCCGCTTTTAGGTGGATGCCTATTCGGCATACCTTAGCACATCCTTATCACCACCAAGCATACTGGACAGGGTCTGCTGGTACCTGGATCTTCTGTTTTGCAGAAGTTCGCGCTTTTGCATCCATCAACACCAGCCGTTGATATAAACATTCTGCCCAGTTGAAAGATCCAGCTGCACTAGACCCCTCTGTTCCATCGTTTTTGGGGACCAGGGACAGGTGCGAAACCGTGAAACCAGCTGTCCAGCTGGCCTAGCAGGGCAACCGTGCCATGCGAACGGAAGAGATTCACCGTTTCGTCCACCCGAACGAAATCGGGAATCATTTGCGAGTGTTTGGAGAACCTTTCAAATCGATTGTGGATACGACCCTGACCCTGGACACTCATTGGGAGGGATTGGACCGGGTTGGGGTCGAACCAACCCCTGGATTTTGAGGGAGAGGGGCTGTTTGCAGCCGCAGGCGAGTAGGTTAGCAAAGGTTAGCAGTTAGCAGTTAGGCAGGGTGTACTGCACATGGCATATGAATTGACATGCAGCTACTCATAGCCACTCTGACCCATCTTGTACTGCCCCTTCGTTTCAAACTCGCGCGACACGGAGTTCTGCACCGTTCAGGGAGTGCGGAGAAACGGATCGCTCTCCCTGGAGTTCGACCTCAGTCACCTGCCCTCACAGAGTTCAGTTGTGACTCCGTTGATCCCGGTAGTGGTGTTGATGATCCATGAGCATATCTCATACCCCGACGCTCCGTGAGAACAGCCGTCTCCTGGTCCCTCAAAACCTATAGGGATTGGTGAGACCCTGGTACCCCTCCACATGAGGGTCCATGAGTATATCTCTCATAAAATCTGGTTGAACTTCAGAAGGAAACCATAGGACACCCCGGAATCCATCTTCCCTGAAATTGAATCCATGGATGAATCCGTGTCAATTGAATCCGTGTCCAAACGGATGCTCCTCCAGTCGCACGGTGTTCTCGGCTGCGTTTTCAGCACGGTGGGACGAGGTGTGGATCTGTGTGGCACAAATTCCGTTTGACCAATATCCCGTGGCTGGCCTCCCTTGTCGTACCGAACCGGGTCGGTTCGGTGGGACGACCGGGGCCCGGGTGCCAGGAGGGTCCAGTCATACCGAACCTGAGGAGGTACGACTGGAGGTGCAGGGTATATCAATTCCCGTTCGTATATACAGGTTCGTATCATTATTGATTGTTGAACAGTCTTACACGTGCATGTGGGTCTTGCAAATGATGGTGTCACATTCCCTTTTTTTCCCACGTGCATATGTGCCGCGGGTCACCCAAAACTACCCTAAACCCTAAACACCAATCCCGGAATGGGTAGACCCCTCAAGTTGGCTGGACTGGATCCATAAGACGAGAAGGGCTTGGCTGCGCTTAGATTGAAAGAAGTGGGACCCAGCGCGTAACGTCACCAAGGCAATATTGGATTGAATCATGTTTTTAGATTCAAATGTTTATGACAGCAGGGGACAGGTGCAAGATGGTGGCTTTCTATGTCAATGATAGATGTTTTTCTGGTTTTTGAAACCCCAAACTCCTCCTCCCTGACAAGCCCCGCACCCTTCCCATCCCGCACCATCTCAGGTTGTGATGCTGGTTGGCAGGTCATCTTCCGGGCCCACTTGCGGCATGAGGACTGCGCCCGAGACTGACCTGCCCCACCGAGCGAGGAGCCCGTGCAAGAGCCAAGACTGACAGCCGCGAACCTGGTGACCGAGCCCGCCCCAAGAGCCAAAGATAGACCGTCGAATGTATCAGGACCTTCCATATTTTGCTATCTATGACTATAGCTCCTATACCAGGACCCACAGTCGGGGTGGTTGATGGACACCCCTTAATCACCTCCTGGCCGGGGCTATCAATGGAAGCCCCTTAGGGTGTCCTGGTCGAGGTGGCCATCGGGGTGTCCAGCTCCACCTGGGCTCCATGTTTGGTTCGCTCTCTCCGGGTCGGTCACGGTCATCCCGACCCATCCAACGGGCAACGAATTGGCGGCGAAAACGGGGTCGAGAAGCTTTGGGGTGGCATTTTTGGTGCCGCTTTTGTTCTTAATTGTTAACTGTTGTTGTTGTCGTCCGCGGAGTGTTTGGGTAGAGGCCAGTGGGACCTCGGTTTACTGGGGAAGAGTGGATCACCTGCCAGGGGGATTGGGGAGTTCCCACTGGACAAGAGCCGGTGGAAAGTTCGGGAGTAGGAAGAAGGGAAGTCTTCAAGAGAGAGAGAGAGAGAGAGGAGAGAGAGAGGAGAGAGAGAGAGAGGGGGACAGCACAGACTTCCAATTTGGTGCCCTGAAAACCCAGGAATGAGTGGAATCATCTGGGCATCACCCTGAACAGACTCCGATAGGCAGGAGCCACAACCCGAGAGGCGTTTGCCCTTGGCTTGACCGACCTCGGATTGATGGGTGGTTTTGCACTTCATGTTTAAACCTGGGGGTGGTTCAAGGGTCAATGTTATTATAGATGATCCTACACTGGGCTTGGCTACTATGGCAAATAGAAATGACACATCCCCGAATGTTCACCATCTTCAAGGAATACGACCCAGGACCCGAACCGGCTGATTTTTGGGGTGGAACTTCAACTCGGCAAATCCCAAACACGTGGCACAGTGAGCCTGTGGCATTGGGCAACAAGCAAAGACGTGCTTTGGCGCTTAGAATGCTGAGATACGACAGCGGTATGATAGTCGAAGCGCTTGGAGATTTTACACAAACACTTTTGGTGGTTTACAGTCCAATAGGTGGTATATCATATATCAAACACGATTGCACTTCGGTTCCCATTTGTGTCGTATGGGCTGTTGTTTTTTTTCTCATGCAGGACTCTCACTACATGCGTTTCAAGGCAGGGAGACCCTCAGCTGGGACTTGGGACTTGCAGCGGGCCTGAGGAGAGACCGTGACCAGAACTGACCCTACACCGACTTCGTCGTACCGAACCGAAGAGGTTCGGTACTCAGGACCCGAACATGGCCCCCGCGCCCCGGTCGTCCCACCGAACCGGTTCGCGCTTCGGTACGAAAACGGAGACCTAGGATGAATGATGAAGTGGCTTTCGGTGTCCTGAATGCGAGCTAGGCTTTCGGCGAGCGATTGAACAAGTCCCAATCCCCATGATGGGCTATACAGAATTACAGAATAATACCGAAAAGACCTTCCATGATCTTCCAACTGTGCAACATGTGTTGCCTAACTTGGCTGGTTCTGCAGATGAAGTTCGGCAGACATTTTGCAAAGATGGAAGATCCAGGTAGATGGATTTTCCAGAAAATACCACACAGATCCTCAAGGTCCTCATGGGGTGCTGGATGTGAACTTTGCCCAGCAAGCGTGATGAAATCATGTGGCCAAGCAAGAGGCGCAGAACCTCATGTCACAGAATTTAGACTTCAGTCGACCTGTTGGTAGCTCGGAACATACAGTACCAGTCAGTACATAGCCTGTTTGTTTGTTCGGGTCATGATCCCATTTTCGACTCCGTCCCTGCCGTGAACCGTCCCTGGGTCCGTCCCCCCTGCTTTTCGGTTCGTCCGTGCTGATCGGGGCGTCCCGGTGCTTCGTTCAGAAAAAGGACCTGTTCGCTTCGCGGAACGAATCTCCTGGTGACGGCGCCGATCCGGAAGCCGAACGGAGCCCTATGCTTGGACCGAAACCAGCTGGTTGGACTGTAGGGTGGAGGCACTACAAGACCCAGATCGTTTCCATTTGAAACATGGTGAACAACGGACTTTAGGGTGGTCGCACTGGTGCCGAGACGGTCGAATGACGGTCTGGGAGTGTTCAAGACACATGATTGGTTGTTCAGTGGTCCCAATTCTGTTCAGATTGCTGCAGATTATTGGAATGTTCCGAAAAAAACAAATACGAGAGCAAGACCATCCCGGCTTTTGACCCCTTAGTCAAGATGGTGCGAAGAAAATAGCCTCCATGCCGATGGCCAGGTGCATTTGGTGCACTCGGAAGATGTGGTGTGGAAAGGTGGTTATAGGGAGCAGGCAGCTTAGTGAGATGGGAGCACATGTGTTTGACTGGCTCAACTGTATGTAGTTCTTGGTCACTTCCGTGCTCTCAAAAAAACAACGACCGCGTTTTCATAAGATGTCCCAGGCTTGGATATTTCTACTGAACAGGTTGTTTTGTTGAAAGATGCTTCTTGATGAACTGCTGCATCTCACCTTTTCTTCAAAGCATCGCCTCCTGGAACCGCCCGCCGTCAACGCGGGGGTGCGAGCGGAGTGGGCGGGCGACGCATCGCAACTGAGGTTGCATCTCTGGAAGCTGCATGGCTCCTTGGTGATGTTTCCCTAGGGCTCCTGGCCCATATCCTCAGGTTCGGTGGTTAGACCCCCGTGGCACCCACCCCAACCATCTTCTCAGGAGGTGGTTGGAGCCCTAGGGTTTGTTCCTTTTTGCACTCGACTCCTTCGGGTGTGTATGAAACGACAGGGAGTCCCACACGTTCCCGCCGCTGAGGCTGGCTTTGGTTCGGGAAATAGATTTCGGGGAACACCTGCACCAAAACCGAACCAATCCCACTCGTGACTGGTGGTCTGGGCATGGTGCTGTGGATGCTGATCGCACCTGAAGCCCTCGAAGAGTTTGGGTCGTGGCACCGTTTTTCGGTCTCCGTGTGTCGCTTTTGATGTCACCCGTCCCACCGGTCACCGCCCTCGTCCCGAACCGGTCACCGGTCAGCGCGCCAGCGGGTGAACGAGTCCGCCCGTGGGTCATGTCGTGGACAAGCGAAGTCAGCCCGTTTTCACGAAGAACGGGGAAGGGATCCAATTTCGGATCTCCGGTTTTCGTTGAACAGCAGTCCTGACTGCTGAGAAGACTTCACTTCCGACTTCCGCACATGAGCATGAAAGAACGCAAGTCGATTGACAATCACTTAGTTTTCTCTTCAGGTGCACATGGTCCTCGATCGCCCTCGATCAACAATTTCCTATACCAAACAGCTCCTTCTTGGCTTCAGCCGAGGTTCGAGCCATGTTCAGGAGACCAAGCTTCCACAGAATGAGGAGGATTCGGCCTGGGAGCTCGTGAAACCGCTTTGTCTCGTGGGTCGACTTGTGGACCGAGGTGGCCCTTCCCCGTCGATTCTCCGTGCATTCCCCGTCCGGATTCTTTGCATCACATCAGGACACCACCGGACCGGGACACCAGGACCGGACCGGGTGACCTGGTGTGTTTGGTCCGAAGCGGACGCTTGTTGAGACCCGGAAAACACGGGAAAAACGTGCGGATCATCGAAAAAGTGGAACTAGAGGCAAAGGCATGCAAAGGCCAAATTACAGGCAAATACCTGGTTTTGCTTATAGGGATATATTACATGTTGTTATTGGGTCGACATGGATCTGATGGGTTTCATCACGGGCTCCATCCCCTTCTGCGTTTTCTTCTGTTCGTTTTCCCGGTTAAGGAACCGCCAATCCAAGAACCGGTGTCTGGGATCGACCACCCCGGCGAAACGCCAAAACCTCGCTCTCGTATCTTCGAGTAAGGGTAATTGCGGGAAGAAGCCGGAAGAAGCCAATACACGGCGAATGTCCGCAAAGGTCATGTAGTCTCTGGATGAATTCATCCTCAGCCCTGAACCCTCGGGATCCAGATACTGCTCAGAAGGCACTTGGACCCTCTTGGCACCTACAGAACAGTGTCAAACACATCACCTTCTGAGAGCGTATCTGGATCGATAGGGGAAGGTTTGATGGTTTTACAGTTTTACACATTTTCGGTGCAGTGTCTCACGGCGACATGAGCCAGAGTGGTTGAAGAGGTTTTACATGGTTTTACCATGTTTTACCATCCATGTTGGAAGGGGGTTATAAAACAAGAGTCTATACATTGTGGAAACTGATCATAATTAGTATTTCCCAGACACTCGGTGGGACTGGAATACAGACCTTCATTGACTCCTTAAAGCGCTTAAATCATCTTAAATCAACCACCCGGATGTAGGCCAATATGCCAGTCCCGTGGAGTGTTCTTTTTTCGTCTAAGTCCAAGAGGAAACGCAGGACGACGGTGTCCACTTCGGCCCACTGTGAAGCTTCTCGGCACAGCTGAAGCGCCACAAACACCTTGGAAGCGGATCGTTTTACGTTGTCCCACGCACTGAGCTCGTGAGTTCGTCAGCTCAGACAGAAACGGGCCCTGCATGTTCGAAGAAACGGTTTCTCCCAGCACAGGAAAGAAAAACAAGTTCTCCCCAGGTTCGGGTTATTGGACCCTCTCTTGGGAGGACTGGTGATCGACGCGTCACTGGTACTCTAAGTAGCCACTCGTGAGCCATGGGCGCCTGCGAGTGTGTGGAAGTCAAGCGTGGCGAGGCACGCATACCGGTGGCGCTACGCGCAGTTCGGAGCTGTATGCGGTGTGGATTTTACTCGACCGGTGGCGGGAAACCGGCTTTTCCTCCGTCCAACGTGTCCAAACAAGTTGCCTAAGCCAGGAAGTACGTGGATAACCTTTAACTTTAAACCTTTTTTTTGGGGGGGAATTCATTAAGACACAGATGAACAGATGGAAAAGGGTGGTGACACGTTCATTTTTATTGTCCAGGGTAAGTGAGCATGAGGAAGAACATCAGTTTCATTTCCCAAACGCTCCATGTATGGCATACTTGTACATTGACCCCTGAAACTACCCCAATAATAGGTTTCTATGCCACAAATCTTATGTGTGTGTGGGTTTGGAACATGTTTGAAAGCCATCAGCAATTGGGCTCAAAGACTGAGCCGAGTTGTTTGGTCTTCCGACACTCAGTTCCAAGAAATGGGCGCCTGCAGCTCCAAGAAATCCACTGCAGTTCACCCCATCGACGTGGTGCCTTCCTCACCTGCGGCTGCACCGCCTGGGACTGCGGCGGCGCCAGCGCCGGCGCCCGTGGCGGCGCCCGCGGCGGCGCCGGCGGCGCCTGTGGCGCCTACAGCTGCGAGCCGTGTGACACCAAATGCGCAGCAGACTGCTGGTCCTGTGGGGGCTGGAATCGTTCCGCAGGCCTTTTTGGGATTGGGGTCCGTGGCTGGTCCGGTTGGACTTGGATTTGGGCTGAAGGTGAATGAAGTGGATTCTCCAGCTATCCAAAGAGGGCATCCGGCATCCACTTTTATCTCATGTTTGGTGCAGATATACCTATATGGGTACCTACAGTGTATATTTATGATATTTTATGATTATTAAAGTAATAATGGCAGTGAAACTTAGATGCTTTTTCACATCAAAAAAGACTATTGCAAACCACTATCATCATAGAACATCCGCTGAAATGGGGCTAGTATATAATCTAAAACATCATCTTGGAACTTCACAGCCTCACAGCCGATTCTGTCCCAAATGTTCTAAGTGGATGGCTGTAATGTTCTAAGTACATGTTCCTCCCAAGGCCCAAGCTCTTCTTTCTCCTTCACCCCAAGCTCCCAACTCCTAAAGACACATGCAGCACATGCATCCACGATCCTGCAAATTCAACCAGCGTTGCAGAAATCACAACTATATTGAAAACATATATTTTATTACAATGTTGATTCCTACAATAAGGCAATCCTTTCGTTGAAAGACATGTTGAACATGGCACATCCAGAGGAAAGAAAGGAGTTTGGAACACGAGGTGAACAATGTCTTCGCCAAGAGGTTCCCACTCCATCCTGTCCACCAAAAATCCAGATGGTACCTCTTAACGAGGGGCCTAGTGGGAAGCGCTTAGCACAGCGTCTCGACCGCCAATGGCCGTCTTCGCGTGAAAGACGTCCAGACGTCCTTCAGTCAGACTAATGGCCAAACGAGACGTCCCGTCCAGACGCCCTTCAGTCCTGAAGACTCACATGCGAAGGCGAAGGCGAAGGCGAAGGCAAAGCCAAGCTCCTTGATCAAGGCCATCAAGTGCAACGACCTCCAAGTCGTGGAGGAGTCCGACTCCGAGTCGAGGAAGGAGGAAGAGAACCAAAACGAGGTTTTCGGAGGAGTCGACTTCCGTGTGGTCGACTTGTGCCCAGTGTGGACGTTTGTTTGTAAAGGGGAGACTTGCAGTGGTCTTGGCCCAGGCTTTTTCCAAAGATTAGCAGCAAGCTCCAGCAGATCGCTAGTAGGTTGGAGGCCGCTAGTAGGATCGAACGAAGGAGCCTTTTCAGTCGGCTTTTGCAAAGAAAGATCGTCAGGAGGCGAACTGGTCAAGCTGCATCACCGAGTTCGGATGGTTTATAGACCCCCCTTTGAGCATGTATTTACCATCCAAGAACCATCCGACCTGGGTGGTGCTTATACATCGAGGGCAGTTTGGTAACATATGGTCATGATTTTTTGAGAAAGGTCTGTACTCACCATCATCATCCACGCGTCTTTGGTCATGGGATATACCCCAATTGCCATGGTAGACATACATCTCTTAATGGGTGTTTTTGGGGTCATAGTTATGTCATAGTTATGTCCAGTGTGTGTCCCATGACCAGCTAACAGTCCTTCACGGGGTCACCCGTGATGTTCCGCAAGGAAGCGGTTCCTTCTCCTCCGTTTCCATCGCTTTGGGTCGGGGTCGGGTCATGGTCACATCGGATCCACAGATCTAGTCCGGCCTTTCGGTGATGTGGCAGTTAGACACTGCTGTGATGGGACGGTGCCCAAAACGTACCCATCTGCGTCACTGATGATGTGTCCGTCTGAAACGCGGGATCTTCGTTTCTACCGTCCCACCGGCTTCTTTTCGAAGCGCCCGCTGGTGACTGGATGCTGGTGTTTTACTACACGAAGTTGCTGGGACGGTTGGAATGTGTTGAAAGAGGGAGTTGCCCTACACCTCCAAGTACCTCCTCAAAAGGTACTTAGACCCTCCTGGCACCCACCCCAAACACCTTCTCAGCAGGTACTTGGAGGCCCAGGGTTGGTTAAAGGAGCCCCCCAGTGCGTTGGTGTGGAAAGGGAGTCCCCCTAAGCACGCACAGCTCCTTGAATGCGAAGACATGTGGTCCACCCGCAGCTGCACAGCTGCAGCGTCGATCATGCAGCATCTTTCCTTCCAGTGCGCCAGTGAAGAAGTCGACGACAGTGCTGCACGGAGTGTTTGTTCTCGCTGCTCTCATGGGAATGAGAATCATAAATGTTGAAGGAAAAAGACCGATTGCCAGGAAATGCTGCAGGAACCTGACTGTAACCTGGAGATGCTAGGCGGGCTTTTCTTGGGCGGATCCAGTGGAATGTCAAGTCTGGCTCTATGAGGAAACTCGTGCAGGTTGGTTTTTTAGAGGAAATCATGAGTTCACTATAGGAGTCAACAAACTTCAACACACCCTGAGACCCTGAGACCATCATCCTCCAACTGGCTAGACATGCCAATAGGATATCAATGGACACAAAAACCATCAAACGCATGGTACTTGTGGCCATTTTCCCAGGGGTAAGTACAGGGAGTACGGGAGATATATACAGTCAGTCCATAGTGAGAGACATCGCCCTCAGGGTTGTTTTTTCCAGTTTTTGTCGTCCTGTCCGCAGGCATGTGGGATAATACTCCCCTCCTCGCTGCCTGCATGTATGGTCACAGCGAAGTCGCTCTAAAGCTCATCGAGCGTGGGGCGGATGCTGGGCTCAGCCTTTGGAAGAAAAAGGACAAACAAACACATCCTACAGACCTAGACCTCCCTTTGCTATATACTCTCAGATCCGCACAGCCCCCTTTTTTTATCGATGAGAACTGCTAAACCATGTTAAAACCTTAGAAGATCTAAGGACAGGCTCAGAGACTGGGGTCCACCATGGTCAACCTCACTCGGACATGACCATCCGACTGTGATGGAGGTGTGTTCCTCTACTGTGCGGGTGGACCCCGTCAGGTCCCTCAGGTCCCCCAGACCAGAACCCCAGTTCGCCAGTTCTCTGGGTGACGGCACGAAGCAGTGAACTGTCATCCGAAAGTCGTCTTGGTCGTTTTTTCCAAGCTATTCATTGAATCGGTCGGTCAGAACGTACGTGTATGAGTCTAGAGGAGATCTATGCAGGTTTTTTTTTCCACAGTCTTCAGATACATCAGGCTCCG